GCACCTCACACGACAAACTGTCTGAATGCCCCAAGATAACGCAACACAACTGAGCGATTAGCCAAGTTCTTCATCCCATCACTGTGACGACGGGGGAGCCGTGGAATGTGACGGTAAACAATGGTAGCAGCCAACGGGAAAACACCGGTTTTCACTGCGTCATTCAACGCCGCGGAGACTGAAATCTTGTAGAAGATGGGGACTGTCCCGTACATGGCTATTGCCGGGATTACCATGTGGTCCAACATGGGAAGATGGAGTTCCAGCTCGCGAGTAGAATTGTTGCGCTGAAATGCCGCAATGGCCTCGGCGATAACTTGCGGCTCTGGGTCGGCGTTATTGTCCTCCTGCACCAGGAGAAGAATGTCGTTGCTATCGAGAACGCAGACATCCGTTTGCGCGCTGCAGATGGAACCGCAAATGAAGAGGGGCAGCGCCTGCCGAATCATGATGATACGTCGACCCTCCGCATACCCCAACTTATCCAAGAGTTTTTCGGCAAAAAGATCGACGGCGGCCTCCTGGCCAACCTTGGGGGAGTGGGCAAGGTCGAGGAAATGGAGGAGTCGATAAGTGTCATCGTCCGGGGCGTTGATTCGATCTTCGGTGGTGCTGAAGGTGGCAAGCGAGGCCTGAACATCAGGGAGGTCTTCAACCGCCTCGACATCGAAGAAGTCCTTCAGGGACTGCTCGTGAACGTGAATATTGTACGCAGCAAGCTCGTTTACGGTCCACTCGTTCCCGGATTTGGCGCTCCTAATGAGATTGGCCATGACTATGTAGTGTGAGTCGTACAGTCAAATAAGATGCTTAGGCCATCCATACCTACCAACTGGCGATGAGATCGATGAGAGTCGAAGGATGTGGAGTGACGTGGTAGGACGTGGCGGGGAGCTGACTAGCGTCGGTGTGGAAGTCGATTCAAGGGTTGATCGAGGGTTAGCTGACAGTGCGCTCGGTGCTGGGAGACGGCATGGACATCGTGCAGAGTATTTTTTTTTTTTTTTTTTTTTGGATCTGCATTTATATACCGCAACAAGTACACTAACTACTAAGACGCGGTGCCCTTGGGCAATAAATAAGGTAAAATGGCTAATGGGGTGACCGAGCGCTGTATGTATAGTATAGTTGTGAAATTATGGGTGGATGGTCGACCATAGTGAGGGCCGGATGTGCGCGGGGTTATTAGCGGTCATAGGAAACATAGACCATAGAGCCATAACATAGAAAGAAACGGAAGGGGGGTTTGGGAGTGTCAGCACAGGTGTTTCTCCGATGTGTGCGTCGAGATCGCCTATCCTTCGTCATCCGACTCCCCGTCGGATTCCTGGGGTTCAGGCTCGTCGTCAAATGACGGTATCGTTCGCTCACGGCGTGGCTCGCCGGTCTTCGTGAAGGCACCCGACTTCTCTAGGAATTCGGCCAAGGCGCTTATGCCTTCCTTTGTGCCCAGTATCTCGGGCAGGGAAACATCCCTTGAGACCTTTTCCAGAATATATCGTTGGCCCTGGTATCGAGGGCACTCGCGTAGCAGATGCTCGCGTGTCTGGAACCGTTCGCCGCAGGGGCAGTCAACGTCCTCGGATGGTACAAATTTGTTGTAGTACTCGCCTACGAAACAATGCCCGATTCGGCATTGAGTGACGCGTCCGAACACCTCGCGTTTGAGAGTTTTGAAGTCCTTCGTTGGCTTCAAGGACGGCGGGAATCGGTTCGCCATCGCATATCGTCCGACTTTTGGAGTAGACTTCCATTCCTTCACCCAAGATTGTAGGATCTTCTCTTTTGATCTGCGGAGTGCGAACGAGCGAGTCCCGGGGGCTTTGGTCCCCAGCTCGGCCCCGGCTTTTGCGAGTTCATCTGCCCGATCGTTGCCGACGATCTCGCAGTGTGCCGGCACCCACGCCATCTCTACCGAGTGCTGAGCGTTGGCGTCAAGGAAGGCTGAGATTTCCTGATGAAATTGGTGGGCGTATATCTGCCCCGCGCGTGGTTTCGGGTCGAATATCGCGTCGATTGCAGCAGTGTTATCTGTGAAGAAGTGAATCTTCTTTATCTGCGGGTCGGCCTCCGCTAATGCGATTGCCTTGTGCGCTCCAAAGCAGAGCCCTGCTAGCTCCGCATCATACACATCCGCCCTGCTTCCCATCCCCTCGCTGTGGGCGAATATCTCCTCGCCCTCGTGGTAAATCACCACCCCCGCGCCTACTCTGCGGACACGGTGCACCGGTCGGAGTGACCCATCGGTGTACACCACAAGGTGTTCAGGCATGTATTGGAAATCACTCATCTTTTCCTTGTGCGCCTTTGCTGCCTCCTCCTTCTCCATCCCTTCGGCTCCCGTCATTTGGACGCGTCCCGGGAACGCATTCGCTGTGCGGCGCCACGGCGGCGTGAGGTACGGAAATATACGCTCATCGTTTGGGCTCGTGAGGCGCGAAATTTGGTCCAACTGTGTCGTTTTCTTTTTGTTGACTTTGCTTTGGGATTTCGGTCGCATTGGCAGTGGTGGTGGGGACGTGGGAGCTCCTCCTTCCCTCCAAGTATCAGGTAGGCGCTGGATGATTGGACTATTTACACTCAGCTTGTTAAATCGTATCGCTGCGCGTCTGTTACCATCGTCCATCGCGAGGCGGATCGGAGGTATCGAGGCTTCGATCTCCAGCGCGTGGATAGGTGATGTCCTGAACGCCGCGCAAATCAAGCGAAGTGCGCGGCGCTGTACCCTCTCGAGCTGCTTTTCGTGCACCTTTTTTCCCGTCCACCATGCCGCGCTAGCGTGGGTCATGACGGGGATCACGCAGGCCTTGTACAAATGACGCAGGTGCGTTTGGGATAATCCGCGTACTGTGTTCGACAGCATCGTTAAACCGTTCACGGTGTTTTCCGCGCGTGCGGCGAGGGTCTTGACATGGTGGTTAAAGAGGAGCTTTCGGTCGAAGTAGACGCCGAGCCACTTGACCGCGGGAAATGCGGTGATTGTGGACTCCGTTCCGTCCGCATTGGGTAGTCGGATCGCGGGGCTTCCATCCTTTTGTCGCCGTGTGTAGTGTTGAAGCTCTCGTTTTACATCGTCTATTGCCAGGCCCCAAAGACCGAGTGCATTCCTAACCGCGACGTATGCTATGCGTAGCATCTGGATGTTCGTTTCCAGGGACTCGGACGAGACATATATCTTCCCGTCGTCCACATACATCACTAAACGGACTTCAGTAGGCTTATCCGGGAGCGGGAGTGGGTTGTTCACCGGGTTCAGCCTTGGTTCGAACATCTCCAACAACTCCGAACTATAGAAGGCGGCTAATATCGGGGATACGGGTGAACCTTGTGGGATCCCATTTTCGACTGGTTTCATTTCTCCCCGTACGCCATCCAGGCAGACGGCCGCCTGTCGTTCTTCCAAGAACGAGGCGACCCATTTGACATATTCAATTGGGATTCGTTTGCGGCGCAGTTCACAGAGTAAACGCTGGTGGTTGACAAAGTCAAAGTAGCCTTTGATGTCAAAAGTGAGTGCGGACGTAACTTTTCCGTTGTTCCATGCGGCCTCCACGTCGTTCGTGAACGTGAGGATGGCGTCCGACGTTGAACTGTTTGAGCGTCCCCCGAATTGTGTCCCGGGAATCAGGTTGTGCCGTCCGACTAGGAATGCGAGACGCCGCGCTACAATCTTCTCGAGGACTTTGCCTAAGCATTCCAGGAGCTGAATAAGCCGATACGCTCTCGGGTTCGAGTAGTCGGGCTTCCGTGGTTTTCGCAATGCCACGGCAATAGCCTTTCTCCATTCTCGCGGGTGGAATCCATTGTGGAGGCATCGTTTGATGAGGGTGAAAATCTCCTTCTCCGCCTCTTGCCATGCCCATCGGATCACTTTATACGTTACTTGGCTGTCGCCGGGCGCTGTGTTCGCGCTGGCCTCAAATATCGCCTCGCGAACCTCGTCGGTGGTTACCTCCTGGAACTCCAAGTCATCCGCGTGTCGCTGATCAAGATCAGGATTGAACTCAGCTGCGAGCGGGGGTGGGGGCTGGAACAGCTCATCCCGTATTGCGTCACATTTGTCTTTGTGTGATACAGCTGGGGGCTGCCCGTTCTTCCGCGTTATTGCTGGGGTCGGGTAGTTTCGGGCCCCTTTGGACCACTTACGGAACCCCCATATATCCTCGGTGTGGGCTTCCTCGAGTTTACCAATGGCCCACTTCGCTTTGGTGGCTTTGCACAACCTCTTGAAGAAGTTGGCTGCCTTCTTGACTTTGCTTCGGAGGGCTCGGCTGTGGGTTCCATTGCCAGTCTCGTAGTCACTCCGTTCAGATTGAGCCTTACTTAAATTATTGGCCGCCTCCTTCAACTCCGCGTTCCACCACGGTTTTGCATTCGCATTTGGCCTTCGCTCCTTTCCGACTTTCACTGTCGCGTCCTTCATCGCCTGTGTAATTGCCCCCGCTGCAGATTCCAGCTGGTCGTTCGAGACCGGAGTGTTGTCGTCCATGATCGGCTCGATTTGGGCTCGGTGCGTTCCCAGCGCCTCGCGGAACGCTTGTTGCCAGTCTCCGGGTTCAACCTCCTTCAAGCTGTACTTGATCCCTGCGATGTTTTCGATCTCGCGTCTGCCGTAGTTTTGTACCCAGCGGATTCCTTTGTGGTCCGATCCGTAGGACATGGTCCCATCGATTGCCCATTCCTGTACGGTGTCGTTGTTCACGGCGGCAGCGTTCACGTGGGTCAGGTCTATCACGGATGGTGAGCCATGTCGACCGTGAGGAATATACGTTACTTCTCCTTTTTTATTCAGCAGCGTGTATCCCTTCTCCGTCGTCCAGTCGACGAAGCTGTTTGCTTTGGTATCCCCGTTAATTCCTACGCGGGACCACTTTTCGTGCATCGTGCAGAGTACTTAGACGAAGTAGCGTACGAGCTAGCGTAAGTACAAAGTCCACGTTTACCTTCGACTGTGCGGGCCTAACCTCGCTCTGTTCCCGCTCCGCGGGCCGTTACTCAACAGCAGCATGGCGCAGTCTGGAAGCGCGCGGGGCCCATATGCTCATCGTCTAAGCAGAAACCCCGAGGTCACTCGATCGAAACGAGTTGCTGCTATTTCTTTTATTGTTCGTCCACCTTTTTCCTTGTTTCACATTTTTTTTCCTCGCACCTTCTTCTTTTTTCCCCTACATAATACATGGAAGGTTTTTTCAATACGACAGGCTGCAGCTGCATGGAGTGATGTAAGTCATCAGAATGGCAGGAACTAGACCCAAGGCTCCCCAGGGTTTTCGGGTCCAGCAACTAGTCGGCAACTGGTCGGTGCAATGACTGCGACTCTTTAAATTAACCCTCAGGAAAGGGAAGGACAGCGATTGTTTTCGGACTATGTAGACAGACACATAGCACATGAGTTTGGGCCACTTCTGGTTCCCGACGATCAACTTGGATGCGCCTCCGACACTCTCACACGCCTTCTCCCATACGCCGTCGTCAACCCTCGCATGGATGACCCACAATCATGGCTGTTCGTCAAAGGAGACAGTCTTAGGAGAGAAGGAGAGCTTTCGAGCGGAGGGTCGTCTTCCATATGCTGCACCTTCAACCATCAAGCTCAGCCACATCCTGGTCCCGTTCCAATCGGAATTGGAGCACGAACCAACACGCCTCAGCATATCCTCCTCAATCCAGACTCTTTCTTTCATCTCAGTGCCACAAACGTTCGATGTCTCGTGTCTTTGCCCTCATGACCGTCACCCTCCCGCCTTCTCTCTACGAGCTCCGCTTTGCCGCACTTCCCAACATGTATGACACTCTGCTTTCCATGACCAATGCACCAGACAAGTCGCAGTACTCGTTTGGCCTTTTGTCAAAATTTGCGAGAGTACCTCGCGTATCTTCACCTCTATCGCTTCTTCGCCTACGTGAAAGGGTGGTACAAGGAGGTGGAAGATCTCCCAGATTCGATCCGGGAAGCCGGACTTGCACTTCGGGAGGGGAACCAACCGAGATTTTGGGCAATGTGGCTGAGGGATGAGCCCTTTTCGGACCATGGTTCGGACGATTCAAATTACTGAGCAACTGTCCGGCGTTCTCTAAACACTAGATTAGACCATTGAACAAGGACAAAAGATCATAACTAACATATCCCCTGCCTGTTTTACTGCGACGCCGCGGCCTCCTTGTACGTGGGTTTCGGTCTTGGACGTAGCTGAGGAGGAAACTCTGGCACCGACTCTGGGTCCAATGCTCCTCCTTTGAATTCCCCTTCGTCCTGAGAGAGCACCTTCTTCCGGGAAGAGCCTCGTTTGGCACCACGGCCACGGCCACGGCCGATACCGCGTTTGGGTGCTTGACCCGTCTTTGTCTTTCCTGTCTTTGTCTTTTTCTTGACAGGGGCTTCATCATCTTCAGATGATTGGGACTGCGCGCCTTGAGCGGACGCCGCAGGCGATTTGGAGGCGTGCCCTTGTTTCCGTTTATTCCGGTAGTCGGATACGACCTGTTGCAGACGTTTGCTCGCGTATGCTTGACGTTGTCGAGGAGCGATCGTCCCGCTCCCAGTGATGTCGAAGAAGCCGTTGAGATCTCCCTGCCTATTTAATGCACCGCTCTAGAGAAGCGTAAGCGGTGCTGCGTGGTATGGTTGATGAATTAACTTGCCTGCCCACGCTTGCGCATTTTTTGGATGATAGGCAACAAGAGTTCATCCGTTTTTTCTGAGGACCAGCTGAGCTCAGCATAAAGATACCTGTAATCAATTAAGATCACAAGAAAGGAGATGCACGTCTCGACATACTCTCGCAGAGCATCGAGGTCGGGAAGGCCCCATTTGAAAGGCTCATCCGACGAATCAACGGAGGGGTGGTAATATGCGTCTTTCTAGACAGAATCAGGCAGGCGAAGGACCTGAAAGATGGAAGTATACCACTGCTGGATTGGGCCACTCCGGCGGGAGATAAAGCTCTTTGAAGTTCTTTTTCTGCAACGATAGAGTGAACAGGAGGACGTGAAAAAAGGCCTCAACACTTACAAAACGTTTCCGAAATTTGGACTTGTTGTCCTCAGGCTTGTCCTTCCCAGACTGCACCTTTACCCACCAGTCTTTGAATTTATATAACCCATCTTCTCCGGGAAATTCGTCAAGAAGTTCCATCGCGACGACGGGTCCAATACCGGGAAGTCCGTCGACGTAGTCGCTACCAAGGAGGTACGCGAGTCTGATCAACGTGTCGCGATCCAAGCCCAGTTCGCGATCGAGGTCAGCGAGAAGAAAACACTCAACCGTTTTCGCCTGATTGAACATGTTTTTGAAAACGCGCGCACTGCCAAAGAGAAACACATCGGAATCATCGGTGATCACGCCATTCACCAAGCCCAGATGGACAAGTTCGGCACATTGAGCCTCAGCTTCCATCGGCGCAGTAATGTACGGGATGCCGAACAAACTCAGCATCATCTGCTCGACTTCAGCAAAGCATCGGGACATGATCCTATGTATGCACTTACCATGACTTGCGATATCATCTGCTGGTTAATGTCTTCCGAATCGCGCATGGCCGCTTTCTTCTGCTGGTTCAAGACCTTGATTTCCTCGTCTATCTCCTGTTGTATTTCTTCCAAATCTTTTCCCTTGACTTGCGACATGAACCGCGCAAATTCATCCTCCTCGACGTCCGCATCCATCTCTTGTGCGGCGTCCCAGTCTTCGGGAACTGGGGAAGAGATTCGCCGCTGCGGCTGCTCTACCCCAACGATGGGCGACGGAGACCTCGACCAGCCACTGATAGGTTCGTCTTCCTTGACATTATTGCCATCATCTACCTCGACACCATTGTTTTTTATCGGCGTCAGAGGTACACTTTCCGTTCTTGCTAAATCTGCAGAGGAGTTACCCAGCACCGCCGGCTCGAGAGCAACTGGTTCTGCGCGCGTCTGTGACTCCGGCATGTACGTCACCTCGTCCGCGACGACTAAGGAGGAAGGTTCGCGGTCAGAGACAGTGCCATTGTTGGCAATAGCCTCCACGACCGAAGTTACGGGTGACTTGAGCCGTGCAGGGGTGGAGGACGGAGTTACCGCATTGGCTCGCTGCGAGCGAGGAGATATGATTGTCTCGGTCAACTCAGCTTGCGCCGACGCAATCGGTGGTGCCGGAATCTCAAACGTAGGTAGTGCTTCTTCCATGTCTTCATCGGAAAGATCAGATGCTCGCGCGCGCGCGAACGAACGCGTCGAGGGCGGAGGAGTCTGGGGCTGGAGTAAAACTGGTTTCCCGAGCGGAGACATTGTAACTGCAGATCTTGGCTTGGGAAAAGAGTCGTTCTTCCGGTTGTCTGAACGACGCTCTGGCGTCTGCATTGCGGATTTTGATAAAGGCGAAGGGGACGCTTTCGGCGGTGCAGGCGAGAGGATCTTGTTCTGAAGCAACGCTGGCTCCCCGAACATAGAACCCGCAGGTCTGGGTTTCGTTGGAGTACGGGCAAAACCTGCGTTCGCTATGGATAATGCGGTCTCCAGCCGGTTGCCGCGTACGAAAGTATCCTCGTCGTAGAGAGGATATTGCGAAACGGAGTCGGACAGTCGGCGTGGCGTAGTGTCAACCATTTTGGAGGACGACGCTACCGCGTTGACCTGCGTGGGCCGGCTTGGACGCGCAGACGTCTGCTGGGTCGCATTCGAAGCGTTCGCCTGATCGATGGACTCCTGAATCGCCAGGGCGAGTTGCCCATCATCTTCATCTTCGAGTGCAACATCTTTCCTGCCGTCGATGGACTCTTGAATCGCAAAAGCGAGTTCGTCGTCATGGTCATCGTCTATTGAAACCATGTCGTTGCTGTCATCCTCGAACAGCGGCTGCGAGATTGGATTTGCCGGAGCTGTTTTCGACTTTTTCGGCCCATTTCGATTGGCGATGGCCGCAAGGCTCATCGTTCTTTGATACTCCTGCAAGTCGGAATCCGGCACACCAGGTTGAGGTCTAAGTATCGCCAGATCAGCGCTGCGCGGCTGCCACAAAAAAAAAGGTTGCGAACATGGGAACCTCCTCCATATCCTCATCGCTGTCATCGCCCTCTGAGATACCCTTTTTTTCGTCATGATCAATCACAATTGGCTTTTCTCGAGTTCCGTCATCTCGGATGCCGAGGATCCATCCACCGTCGTGGCCCTCATTCTTAATCAACAGGTACTCCCTGTTGCGCTCACTAGCAACTCGAACAGGAATGGTGATGTTGGCCTTTCCGATGGTGTCCGTAGTGCTGAGGAGCTGTTGTGTCAAAGTATTCCGTTGCCGCAGATTCTGAATCTGCTGTTTCGAGAAGTCGAGCGGTGTAGAAGCAGTTTTGAGCATGTGCTGCAAGCGAGCGTATGAAGTTTGGCGCGACTTGAGTCGGAGGTCTCCGACGATTTCGTATTGGACCTCCGTTGGAAGTTCGCGGAATGCAGGTGAGGTGACATCAAAGTCTTCAGGACGCATATCTTCTATGAACTCTCGTAGCTCGTCCTCAGTAGCTAGGCGAGGATCAGGGACTGCAGCACGAGCTGCCTTTGCGACGGCGGCCTCAAGGTCGAGGTCGGGAAGTCGGTACGGATCATGGTCATGGAATTTAGGCTTGCTAGGGGATGTCGATAATGACTCGGTGCCTGCTGGGCGGGGAGGGGCCTTCGGCGTGGACGAGTCGATATCCTCGAGATATACAGTGCTATCGTCAAGTACAACAGGGCCAACAGGGGCTTTGCCTTTGCCTTTGGAGGTTTTCCTGATTTGCACGTTGGATCCGGAACACTGAAGAAAAGAACGGTACATACGGCGAGCCCCTGGCCTGATGCAAAGCCTCTCGTCTCATCTGAGCAGCAAGGAGCTTTTCGGCAAGTCGGACATGGCTTAAAGCTGCTCCACTCTTCTTCTTCCTACGCTCTGTCTACGAGAAATCAGCACAATAGACCCTTCAACAGTCGGCAACCATACGAGAGTGGTTTTCTTCAATGCCGGAGCACCGCCGTCAAAAACAAAGACGGGTTTGATTCCGTAGAACAAGAGTTTCGCGATTCGTCGTAGAAAGCCTAGAATATGCGCGTTGGAAAGTGCTCGCCCGTCGTTATCACGCATAGTA